ATTATTGATCAAGTCATTTATTGTTTAATTTATTATTTATATATAATTTATTTATTAATTTATAAAATAATTCTTTCTAATATCATGAATTTGTTATTTTTTAAAATAAAATATTTTTTAATAATTAATAATTCTATTTGTTTTATTGTTACTGGGCTTAGGTCGTTTATTCAACCCATAAAATCATAAATGTTTTTTTAAATAAAACATTACACTTTTTAAATTAAACAGTAACAATAAAAAACCTAATTGAATATTGATTGTTAAACAGATTTATTAATAATAAATAACAATTTTTATTTTTTTGTAAAATGTTATAAATATTAGACAAATTTATTATAAATAATTAAACAATTTAATAATATTGATCCATTATATATCTACATTAAAAGTTTTTAAATTTTACTTTATTAATAATAATCATTGATAGCAAGGGTCTTAGGTACTATTGTTCATATATATCACAAACAATTTAAATATTTATTTTATATTACATATTAAGGTATTATTCTCGTTATTATAATAATAATTGCAGCACTTGTTAAATTTATTTCAATGGTTTTTCATATTTTTATAACAGAAACTGGTAATTAATATTCGTTACTATTTTTATTTTATTTTTATTTACTTTAATGTAAACATTTTTATTAGTATCAATTTTATTATTTATTTTATGTTAATATCAAAGTTAATTAATTTTTTACTGATTTTTTTATTACTCAGTTATTATATTTTAATAGATTTTTGATGTAATCCAAAATTAAAGTTATTAATTTTTAGTTTATGTTTTTTCAAGCATTTTTAAATTTATATACATTATCGCGAATATTAAATCATTTAAAAATTATTTTTTAAGATCTAAGTATATTTGTATTATATATTTATTATTTACATTTTTGATGAAATTAAAATAAAAATATTAATTTAACTGTGATGTTTCAAATTTTTTTATATATATTTTTATTCGACTTCTAAAATCGTTTATGAAGCATTTTTTATTTAAATTAATTATATTATAATATTTTAGAAGCGATTGTATTTTGCTTTCAGTAAATTATTTTGTCATGGATATGAATACAAAATGATATATATTTATATATGTTACATAGAATATTAGTTGTTTTTGTAACAATTCTTAAATTATCATAATAACTACCTTATTGTTTTTTGATTTACACTAATAACATATTCTATTATATTTTTTATTAACAATAATTCACTTGAAATGTAAATTTTTTAATTATTGCATTGAAACCTTTTTTAATGCAAATAAAGAATTTTTTCTCAATGAGAGATAATTGAGTTTATATGCATTCGTGTATATGCATATATATACTTTTAAAAGAAAGTCGTAGTTATATAATATAACAGTTTCGTTTATATTGAAATTAGCAACCTATATGTCTGATAATTTAATATGCTTAATATTTGATTGTTCTCTATTCCAATTTTAAAGTACATTGTAGTTCACTGATTTGTGAATAAAAGATTACAATATTTAACAATACTATTTTTAATTATTCGATTTATTTTACCTCATAAAATTAATAAACTGTTTAGGTTCCTTTTCCATAGAATGTTGTGTGGTCCAATCACATTTATTTGACTTCAAGATATTTATTATTAAGTTTCATTCATAAATTAGAAGTTTTATTTTACACACAAGAATTTATTTATAATATTAAAAAATATATTTTTTTTCATTTATTTAAGTAATTCAGATTCAGAAAATTGAATTAAATTATTACACATATTTTTGAATTTTTTTACACCACAGAACTGAGTAAATTTTGATCACATTTGATATTTGTATGTATTAATATATTATAAAATTTATTTAATAATAATTTTTATATATTTTTAAACTTTTACTGTCACGAAGTTAAATGCAATATATATCAATAAAAATTCATTACATCAAATTACTATATAAACCATTATTTCTTTTGCGATGTGTACATAAAATATTTAATTAGTTCATTATTTTTATTTAATTTTTTATGTTTAACTTAAACTTTTTATTTTAAGCACTCAAGACACAAATATTTCACTTTCTGTTTTTTTTTAAATTATTTTGTGTAATTTTCATTAGATATTTGTATTTTCATAAAATACTTTTCAAAAATTTAATTCAAATTTAATTATTATTTTTGATTATCTGTATTTTATTTCACTAAAAATTTTTATTTCGTCAAAAAATCGTATCAAAAATAATGAACTTTTTTTTCATTTCAGTTTGTTTATGTTTACACGGAAATGCAGAGGCACAGATGAGATGAAAAAGGCACGTTGGTCTATCGCTACAACCGCACGACTTCGTACACGTCCACGACCGCCGATTGCTCATATTCGAATAAAATTGAACAACAACACGAGTTTGCAATTGCATGCTTATTTCGCCGACTGGAATTCGAAGTCGAATGCTTATTTACTGTTTTCGCTTTGTTTACTTTTTAACATTGCGCTGGAAGCTTTTCAGATTTAACAGCTTGGAAGAGTTGACATTTACATTCGCTTCAATGTTATGTTAGGCATGTTTTATAATGTGTCTGTTAACTTGTTTTCGAAGTTATGTTTATTATATTATTCGATACTACATTATTTACGAAAAATTTGTCAATTAATATTATGTGGTAATAACTATCAAATTTTATTTATTTTACTTATTTATTTTGCTTATTTATTTTATTTATTTATTTTGCTTATTTATATTGTTCACATATTTATATAAGTTAAGTGCATTTGTTGTCAATGCTCGTACTTAGTTTTATTTCGCAATACACTACTACGCAAATCGTTCTATAAAACATCACTATTGATTGCAATTATATTATTAATTATATGGGTTGAATTTATAAAATTAATTCAATATATTTGTGTTTAAAGTATATTCCTAAAAAATTTTTATATTTGTTTTTCCGATCCAATTGATATCACATTACTTGTTGTAAACACATTCGTATTTAAAAGTTTTGGAAAAACCAAACAAATACCAAGCCAATCTCAAATGGATACTCGACAATACCTGTACTATAATTTATACATCAATATTTCTTCGAAATATGTATATAACTATTTGGAACAATCTTATATTTAAACAGTTAATGAGAAACCACAAAATTTTCAAGCTGATCAGAACTACCAATGGTTCTTCTGAAAATGAATTAAAAGAAGCTGAGCACATACAGAAACTCATATAAGGAAGTCTTTTTCAAAACTTATTCAAAATTTACATAAAACTATTTAATTAATAAATAAAACCATTAATCTAGTACATAAATTGGTTTGGCATATTATAGTTTGTGTCCCAATTAAATTATTTATAAAATTAATATATTAAAACTTATAACAGACCAAATACAGCTAGGTACACTAAAACCAGTAGAAAAGGCTAACCATTAATGTGGTATTGCTCTCCACTAAAAGAAAAAATAAAAAGACAACAGTTGTAGTGCCTGCGAATCGCACTAAAATGAAGCACAATAAAGAAAAATTTCCTGAAAAGTTTCTATTTAAACTCTGACATATTGAGTTTTGATATTGCAGCAGAAAAGTTTGTAATAATATTTGTAAGCATATATGAAAGACACATTTAATTGACATGACCATGTTTATAATATTAATAATTGATAAACAATTTTTATCTTTAAATAGATGTTATACATATGCCAAACTTAGTAAATTTCTACTCAATCAAAATTGAAATCTGTTAAAGAAAATGGACTTGGAATCATATATAAAATCGCAAGAAAATTCAAGAACGGAACCCGCTGGAGTATCAGCGCCCTTAAAAAATAGACAAATTCGTAGTGAGAGTAATGTGCAAAGTAAAATCTGGCGACAGGTTAAATTTATCGCCGCAGACAAGAATAATTGGGTTGAGTTTGTTGACGCTATATGTTCTAGATCAAATTAAAAAGCACATTATTGTATTAAATAAATAAAGAATTATTTATACATAAGAAATTTTTGTTTATGTTATTTTTTTCTTGGCTAACCACAAATGGGATTTATATCTGATTTAAATTTAATATAATATATATTAATATAATATATATTTAATAAAATATATATACAAATAATATACATAACAAACATGTACACAACACATATGGTATAAATATATCCTTAATGCATGTACATAATAATAATAATAAAGAGTAGACGTGAAACTTGCCCAACAGCCGGTACTGCGGCCAGAAGAGTCCTATTGTACCGGTTTCACTATTGATTAAACAAAGCCCCTTAAAGCTTTCTGAATAAAGTCTAGAACTAAATCTAGAGAAGAGTTCTTAATCTGCTCTGGTGACAGAAATTCTTTATATGCATGTACATATATATATGTGAAAAATCCAATGGGTTCGTATCTATTTAAAACATTTTTAATACTAAGCATTAATGTCATTTTCATGACATTATATTTAGTGTAATAAAAAGAAGGGCTTAAATTTTATTTAAATTGCAGACAAAAATATTGTTTTAATAACCTAGTATCTAAATTTCTATATTAATCTATATTAATTAGAAGAATCTAAATAAAAAATTGAAACTTACCTCTCCAATTGTGTGCTTTTCTTTGAGCTTGGATGCAATCTCTGTGTACCTAAGTAAGAAATCTTCTTCAAACTGTTCAAGATTGCCGTCAAAGGAAGAAATTAGTACATCACAGGCTTGACGTATTAAAACTTCGCGTGTATACTCAAAATAAACAGGATAAATATGCGACAGATGTTTATCAATTAAATCGCTAACATTAGGTTTCTTGAATAAAAAAATTTCAACTTTAAGTATTAAAAAGTTATAAACAAACAAAAATAATTACCAGCTGTAACATTCGCGCCAATCGTTCGTCCCTAATCGAAGTGTCACAGTTTAATTCACTTAGCGTTACATTATCACAATTATCTGGATTAATTTCATTACCCGTCATTGTGATAGATGAGGTTAAACTAAAGTTAATATCATCATAGGAACATTCATCCTCATCAGCAGCATCTAATGAAGTTAAATTCATCTCCGCTAAACACTCAACAGATCTTTCACATATTGTCCCAAGTGCTTGGACTACAGGAGGAGAATATGCAGTAATTGTATCTGTTATTGTGTTGACTGTTGCATTTGTTGTTGTTGTTGCTGTAGTTGTTATTGCAGCTGTTGTTGTTGTTACAGTTGTTGGTATTGATTCAGTAATCGATTCCAGATTTGTTGATTGATTACAGTGACCAGTTAAACGGTCTTTACATTTCTTCAGATAGTTACGAACACGCGATTTACTGCGCTTAACCGCGTTGTCTACGTTACCGTTTTCGATATTTTCTGTGGCACAAACACAATTTGCTTCTTCCTCACGTGCAATCGGTGCAGTGACGTTGCAATGCGCCATAATGACCGACCTGATCTCATTTCCATTGGAAACTATTCGTGCTATTGGTTCAACGTTTGCCGGCAGTGTTGGTGCATCAATTTTCGTGTCATTCACCACCAGCACTTGAGTCAAATACTGTTCATTGGTGCTATTGTTGCTGGCATTATTGTGCGCCAGTTGTGCAGTTTCATGCTCCTCCACCGCTGGCGGCGAATCCAATGAATTGAGCTGATTAAGGTTGCTGTTAACATTATTTGGTATGCTACCCTGTAAGTGTTAAAGGAGAATAATGAATTATGATTTTTGCACAAAACCAAAAAAAAAAAAAATAATTAATAATAAAATTTGACTTAAAACTGGGTTGGAAAATTACAAAAGTTTTTGTAATAATAATTATTTTGTTATTCTTTAAAACTTATGAATTATTTATGTCTTTATGGCGCGCTAGATATGTTTCTGTTGTATGGTAATTTGAATTTTTAAATTACGTTATAACTTTAATTATTCTGTGCATTCTACATATTGCATAAAATAATTATTATTAAAAAAGTACCGTAAGTAATGTACACATTGGCAATTTACCGGCGCATCTAACATGCAAAAAAGATTTGAATGAGAAAACAAAAATATTTGTTTTAGAAATAAGAAAACAACAAAAATCGATTGTTAAGAAGCAATTGAGGGCAACATTGATTGAATTCAACAAAACATATTTAAGAGCTGACATTTTGCTCACAGCGGCCCATCAGAGAGTTTTCCACTGAGGAACCACCCACAATATTCATGACAAAATGTACATAAAAATATTGCATGACTTAAAAAACGAACGGCAAAAATAGTAACAAATCGCGCTAAATTTAGTAAAAAGGAAAACACATTTCTTTGATTGACGTAGGTCAAGAGTACTGTTCACTTTCTCCGCATATTGGCATACTGTGACATTTGGCCACAACAAACAAAATTTATCCTTTGTGATGACCGCATTGTTTTGTTTTAACTTTGAGTGACTTAAGGCGTTCCTTCCATAACAAATCCACTCTTTGTGGTTAACACCTTCGCACAAATAATATCGCACAAATAATATCAAAAAATCACTGAAAAATGTATGAATTCACCTTCTTTTTGAGAAAATACATATCCCCACTGCAGTATCTGAAGTTAAAAATAGTTTTGTATCTTTGCAGTTAATTGTTTGATTTGCTAATTTCACAATTGAAAACTATATCGAATCATCTTAATTTTATTTATTGCCATTTTGCTTATCCTTCGAGCAAGGTTACAAAGCGGCTCACACCAGACTGATTTGTATTAATCAGACTTTTACATTTTTTGTTTACTTTTCTCTATGAAATTTAGTTAAAGTTTATTGTTTCCTAGGTGCTTACACTTCCTACTTTGCCACTAAACAAAAGAAGCTTTCGTCTATAGTTTGCCAACTCATATAGTCGTCAGATGGCGCTTTCCAGGAGCAGGCGCATTTGACACATAAAACTTCTACGCTTAAAGGGACAAAGGATATTATAATACAGCACTTTTGACTTCACTGAAGGGAATTCTTAGAACAAAGTCAAGTTTATATGTTATTTCAGTAAAGGCAAAAGTACTTTTCAGCAAAAGTACAAATACTAACATAGATATTTGAGATAAATATTCAAAAATTTGATTAAAATAGATTTTTATTAATACATTAGCTTTGGAATTTTCACATAACATAATGAATATACTTAATTAATTAATTAGTTAGTTAATTATTAGCACTAAAACAACACAAATGCAAGATTAATAAATTGAAAGGATAAACTTTCACTCGTAAATATGATTAAGTGCCACATTAAGTAACATTTCAAAAGAACAAACGAATTAACGTTAAAAAAATTTTATTGACAAAATTGTCGTCAGTAAAACGCTACTAATACGGATCATTACGGGTAATAAAAAATGGATTAAATAACGGAAACGTGGTTATGTTAAGTTTTTGGTAGGATAGTTAATTTGTCATTTACAAGTCACAACTTGACCGCTTGAACGAATCAATGAAGAAAAAACGTCCAGAAGAGACCAACAGAAAGAAATTCGTGTTTCATCCTGACAATGCTAAACCACATACATTTTAGATGACCAGGAATAAGTTGACGAAATTTGATTAAAAAGTTTTCATGTATCCACTGTATAGTATGGACATCGCACCATCTGACTACCATTTGTTTTAGTCTCTATGAAACTCTCTTAATAGTATAAAATTGACTGACCGAAAAGTCGTTAACAATAAAATGAATGAATTTAAAGAAGAATCATTATTTAAAGAACTTATAGCTTAACAATACCCTATTAAAAAAATACCTCAAGAAGAAGAGATAACTATATTTAATTTAATGTCAACAAAGCCCGTATATTCGGCTGAGTTTTTCACTTATAAATTTATAAAGTTATGAATAGTTTATAAAACTAACACAATTCATCAATACCCAATATTTCTGAATGTGAACATTTATAACATAAGTTTTTTTCTTCCACATGTATTTTATATGGGTTGGACTCGTCTATTCGATTATCATCTAATATGGCTGGATTTATATGTATAATATATAATAATGAAAAAATAAGTTGGAAATATATTGAACCTGTATGTTCTTATATACATTTGTAGATATTAACAGAAAAGTCCAAAGCAAAGTAAATTTCTTGTTTAGAACAAAATTGTAAGCAGTTTTAAGAACTTACACAATTGATCCTATACCTAATTCACCCGGGTGTAACATATATAACGTAATACTATTTTTATTCCTTATGTATTTTTTTTAGTCTTTTAATGTTGTTAGAGGCTTATATGCGTATACACTCGGAGTGTTAGATATTTGTTAATAGGTATGTAGATTTTTGGGTGTTGACATAAAGCCTTACATTGTATCCAAGAAAAGGTAATCAGTGATTATTTATTCAAAAGAACCAATATGCTATACCCTATAGCATAATAAGACTTAAAACTTAAAGAATTGAAGGCGGTTCTTACAACTATCTTGTCGTACTAGGTAGGCTTGATATGTTGTTACGCAATATAGATGACAACTGTTGTTGTGAATCCTGCAGACCCAGGAAACCCAGGAATTAATGCTGTTAATGATATTCGCATCAATGATTTTTCGCTGAGTTACGATATTCAGGAAGTTAGCAAAAGGTCGGTAAAACACTGAAGTAGTTTATTCCATTATAATTTCTAATTTCCATCATAATCTTATAGCAAGCATTGCCAAAAGTATATAGAGAAGCAGACTTTGTTTCACGAATATATTGAATACGTTATATGAAAAAAAATTATAATTAAATAATGAATATTTATCCATCAAAAAATTGCTCTTCTTACAATAAACTAAAGTTAAAATAAATAACATTTTAAGATTAAGGGTTTTCAAAAGAGTTCCCATAATAATGTTTTTCGCATGAAGTTACTAACAATGTTTAAAAAATGCATTAATAATTCATTAATTTGCTTATCTTAGCTTATTAATTTAAAATTATGTTAATAATTAAAAAAAAATATTATTTATATTAAATAAAAACCTCAGGTTTTATTTTTGTATAGTACATAAATTTCTTTATCATTTTTAACTGCACTTCGAATTACAGAATTACGAAAAGGTTATATCCCTGAACACATTGGAATAAACTAAAGAAACATTGGATGGTAAAAATACATAGAAGTAATCTTAGCCCACATTATAAAAATAATGATAATTAATACTTTATTTTATTATACTTAATTAATTAATTATTAATAAATAAAACAAATTGGTTGATTGTATTTTATCTTTTGTGTTCCTATGTGATAAAATTTTAATATAATATATTAAAAATTATTAATCCATAGGTAATCCATACGACACTATTTATTAAGCAATAAAAAAGATTTTATAGATTACTAAAGTTTATAGAGAAGTTTACTATATTTATATTATATTACATTAAAATAGATAATATTAGAAATCTCTAACACCATTTAAGTGGATTAATTAATAATTATCGGAAAAAAATCAAGGCAATTAATCCATAAAGTAGCTAAAGGCAAAAATAAAAAAATAGTTTTAAAAATAAAATATTAAATAAAAGTATTGTTTATTTATTAAATACAAATTATATCATTTTTAGGGATTTTTTGACTTTACTTTAAATAATAACTTCAATTCAAGTTGTTTTAAATGATTAAACGTAACCAACTCGAATTAATTTTAGTCAGAATTAAATTATAGTCTTTAGCTACACATTATATTAAATGCTCAACAACATTAATAATATTACAGTACTTATATAATAAATTAGAGTACATTATATTTAGATAATGCTTTAATTAGGTTACAAGTGCTCTAACACAACACTATTTATTATAAAAATTCGTTTTCATATTCAATCAGAAAAAACCATGTTTAATCTAAGTCTTGGAATCGGACCTAAACTGTAAATCGAATAAAAACCAGAAACCGAACTAAAAAAGATATCAATTGTTTTCAATTTAATTATTTTCAATTTTGTTTAATTTACTAAATAAAATTTAAAAAAAAAATTTTTATTTAAAAACAAAAATTATAAATCAATAAAAGAAATTTAATAACTTTTATAACTAAGCTTTTATAATAGATCATATAGAATGAGTTAATTGATCTATAATAAAAACATATATTTATCCTATATGTATCCTAAAAACATAGAAATAATAATATATCTGTTAATTAAGAGAAAATTAACCTTTTATCAGAACTTGAAAAGTTTCATCAAGTCCTGGCTAAATAATTGCTTTATATTTTCCTTAGTTATATAAAAGAAATACATGCATACATCAGAACGGTGGCTTAAGTGTTTTAGGTGTCGCAAAAAATAGCGATTTTTGATCCATCTATATTCTTAAAGACCTTTCTTACTGAACTATGTGACAGTAAATTTTTCGCCAGAAAAGTAGTTAGCATTAAATGAGTGAGCATAAACCAATTTTCAACCACAATTAACCGAATAAGTTTTGGGTCATATTCTGAGCATATTCCCAATTGAGTAATAACCGGGCGGTGTAGTTATGGCATCTGTATTTAAAAATTTACTCTGTATAGTACAAATATCTATCGATTACTTCGAAGGGGAAGTAATAAACTATCTATAATTTATATTAAATTGCATAACTAGTGCGTTTAAAAATTAACTGTGGTTAAAAGAAGAAACTACATGAGAAGAAGCTACATCAAAAGAATCTTTATGAGAAAAAACTACAGTAGAAGAAAGTTCTCTATTATTCTATTACTCTATCTTCTATTACAATACAGCACCGTTCTAAAAATGTGTGTTAGTGCTTCTGGAAATATGTAAATTTTTTAAAAATATAGATTGTTTTTTTGTGTCTGAACTATTTGAAATATATTAATTTTTATACACCTGAGAGATGCAACTCAAATGTAGAAAAGTTATCCGAAATAGTTGTTTCTTTTAAAGGTCTCAAAAATTATATTGTTATAGATATGTTAGAAAAGCATTGCAATGATTTCAGATCCGAATAAACCATTATAAATTTACATAATTTTGCAATTAATTAATTGTTAAAACAAATTTGTTGAAAATATTTTTGAAAATGAGACATTTTTATCTGTAAGGCTTGTTAATTTACTAACACCTACCAAAAAGTTGTCATCCAAAAAATTTAACAGAAAGAACAAATATTATTCTATTCCCAAGTGCAGAAATACAAACGTACTTTTCTCTTATAGAACCCATAACAATAACATAGAAATATGCTCAATTTTGATAGATTTTCAGCAAACTTATGAAGTTTATTTAAATTGAAAAGTCTATAATACCATATGTGGTCATTTCGAGTGCTAGTGTATAAGCATTTATCTCGATGTGTAAACGTTTTAATAGAAGTAACCGGAGTACTCCTTTTAATGTATTCTTCACAATATACTTGTATGTAACAATAAGCTGGCTTTTTCAAAAGAACATTTTAAAAAACGGTCCATGAACCAAAGACTTTCTTCAGATATCTGTAAGATTCTATGATACAAAAATATTAATTACAAAAATTATGTCGAATAATTTGGAAAATAAAAGTAGATTTTCGTTTTCAAAAATATTAACTACTAAAATCAGCATAGGGCCGCAAAAGTTTGAACCACTATTATTTTCAAAACCCAATCAGTAAGACATCAAAATCAAAAATATAAAATGG